ACCACTGACGGACGGTGAAGGAAAACATCATGAGGAAATAAAAATGTATGGATACATATTTGTCATAATGACAATAAAAATAGGATGAGAGCTTTATTATTACTTACATATGTAAACTCCACAGAAAACCACATTTTTAGGAAGGAAAATCATATTAAATTAGTCAAAATATATCAAAGTAAATCGGTTATATAAGCCGCAAACGTTTCTATACCAACTTCAACTAATTACAATATGATTTATTAATTGTAAACAAGATAACTATATAATATTGCACATAACAGTAAACAAGTTAAGTCCCAACTAAGTTTTAAAGTCACCAGATGGCATCGTAACAGATAATGTAGAGCTTGCAACTGTTCAGTAATTTATCATTGGTATGAAATATACGATGCAGCATAAATCATTAGCTCCCCTGATTCATTGAAGACGTTGCTGGAAAACGTTACAAAATCGTTTTCATTTATAACATTATATTTTATATATTTTGATATAGCTGTTGATCAAACATTATTGATTAAGCGAAGCTATATTTATATATTTATCGAACGGTTCATAAGTAGTCGCCATCTTAATAATGCTTATAATATTTATTACATTAGCCCGTCCCAGTTTAATAACAAATATTTATATTCTGCTACTATTTACTCAGATATCTTCCAAATTCATTACTCGTATATTATATTAAAATTAAAATACTCTCTGAAAATATACGTTAACTTAATAAAAATATTGTTCTTGAAATAACTCATATAATGTTTTATAAAATACCTCTCTGTAGTAATTTTAATTATAATATTGATTCTTAATAATGTCTATAAATGTTTTTAACTGTAGAACAAAAATAAAATTCACATTTTGTATCTTTTAACTTAGTACCTAAAATGTATAGTATCAATATGTAAGCGAATGACGAATCGATGACAAATTCATTGTTAATAATGTTCAGGCTACTTAAAATTTTATATCATTTGAACTGTTGAAAAAAAACCCAATTGTTTCCATCGACAACGCCATTTTGTTTTGTCTATGGCCCGTCTAGACGTACTTCCACATATTTACATAGCCTATAGTTTATCTTAAACTCACCAGACGACTGTACAACTGTGCCAATTATTACCGTCTTGCGTCCCATTAATAATAAACTCTTACTAATGCGCCTTTGATGAGCATTTAATACGGCACGAGCATTCTAGAACGTACTATAATAATTTGTCATACAAATTCGTCGAGAAAAATAGCCTTGATTAAAAAAAAAAACTCCCAAAAGAGAACCTGAAATTCCCTTTGAAAGATGAACAAAGCGTTCAAATAACATTCACACAGCCCCCAAAACAAGCGCATTCATTCATTCACGCTGGGAAAATTCATAACAAACCGAGACGAATCGGGGGCGCAAACTCACGCAATAGCCGTTTTACGGACGATACAAGTGCCTGTTCCTTTTTAATATTTCTTCCAGCCATAGCATTCAACGACCTAGAAAGAAAGCGCTCCTCAAAGTGGACTGAGATCTCATTCTCGCAAATCTCAAACCCATTGTTATATCACACAAACCTACAATACAGTGTAGCGAACTTTTAAAGCAATTTAATACAATTATAACGTATATATTTTAACTATGAATCTGTTAAAAAGTTCTGAAATCTGTTGAGAGCGAAAACAATGAGAAAAAGTATCGACAATACCGCAGCAACGTACAACACGTTTCAAACCCCGCATTTGTACGGAGTTGGTGGTGTGGAATAAAATTATGCGGATTCGGGAAAAAGTCAGTCCTTCTGTGTGCTGGGTTTTCGTATATAAATCAGTGACTTGTCAAACTGCTTCCAAGTAGATATAAATTACAGACATGCTGTTCGCCTCATTTAAAAAACTGTGGAAACTCACTGCTATCTAGTTGGACGAAATTTGCAGACGCGGAATAAATTTCAGTCCGGCATTATGAATTTGATTTGATCGATTTCCACTAATTAATTATCTGCTTTTTGTATAAAACTATCCATGTAAGAAAATCTATGCGATTTTGTTGAATAAAACTAGTAAATATATATGTATTGATATGACATAATCATATTAGTCTTAAATAATGCATTTTCATTTATTTTTATACATTTATTAGAAGTCTTATTTATAAAAAATCATAAGCAAAAAAAATAACAAATATGAATCATTTGTTTCTTGTCTTATTATTCTAGTTTTGTATTCACAAATGACATAAATTAAAATATTTTTTCATGATATCCCATCCCTATACATTATTTTAACAATGTCGCCATTTTGTACTTAGATTTTTTCAAAACGACGCTTCTCATGTTCCGAAGTCTACAAACGTCCAAAAACAAAACAACTATCTCGACATTTAAATACTAAGTAATTGTCTTTTAATATAGTAGTGATTACTTAATTTTTCTCATATAAATAGTTAATAGCAATCTTTAAGCTACATTATTGTAACGTTACCACATTTTTTTTTTATAATTTGACCTAGAATATCAGTAATGACAAAATGGAGATCTGACATTAAATTGATCTGGACAGAAAGGGTCCTAATGATACAGACTTATACCCCGAGGGACCCTGAAGGTTGTCAAAGATTCATTGTAATAGATCGACAATAGTTTTACCGCGCCCGCCGCCATATTGGATATATAAATCTTGAATATCTTACCATTTTATCACAAGTTTTATCATTTGTTTATATAAATTATCACATACTGTTAAATCTTTTATTTATATGTAATATTAAATTAATTATGAAATTATATATGAAAACGTGTAAGGTACGAATCATTATATAACCAACCTTGAAAATGTCTGCGATATTAAGAAAATCTATTTTGATACGGAATGCGAATGTTTCACCAATTTATTTTAAACATATCTTAAAATGAAAGAAAAGGCGGATATGATTATAATTAATATTTATTTAATTTTTTTATATATTATTTCATATTCAAAGGCCTTTGTCACATTCGGCTTCCTAATTATTATTATTTTTTAATTAAAATAAATGAACTTATTTCATCGCTATATGTAGTATGTTGTGAACATAATTATAGTATTTACAATGATGGAAACCTATAAGAAGACTATATTTAAATATTTTTAATATTATGTACATTAATATATATGTATATAAATGTATGTACCTATGAATGTTCCACAGACAATAGAAGGTCGGGATGCATCACGGCGCTACTATTCGCCTTGGCAGTTGGTTTTGGCTCGTCGACAAACGAGCTTTGTCTCAAGCATTCGTTTCGATGACAAATTTTAAATGTTTTAAATTTAACATGTACCTTATCTGTGTTTATATCACTCAATAATATGTTTAGGAGAGAGGATCATATAATTTACACATTTTATTGTTCAAACTATAAATATTTGAGATACGTAAACGTTTAAGCTGCATTAAATATGAATAATATTTATTGATTGTATAATAATACGATTTATGAGACAAACAACGATGATTACGGAACGATTTTTGGTCTGTGGATAGAAAATGTCAGTTGAATAGTTTAAAAAAATTGTTGAATGACACATGTCACTTACCGCTGACGTTATAATCTATTGACCATAGATATCATTAAATACTGTTTACAAACAACCAAGTTGCAGTTAAAATAAGTTTAAAATAAAAAAATGCGTCTAATAAATAACCTTTTTGTTAGTACAATATTTTATCGAATTTATTCAAATGATAAAAGAAATATACATATTTTATTACTAAACTGTTTTCTTTCTAATGTCAGTTTCTATTTCAGAGCATCGCCGCCATTGACACTGTCGTCATAAAATTAAATTGAGCTTTCACAGATAATTAGTAAATTTCCTGTATTAACTGTCGAAATAATTTACGATCTAGCCGAATGGTTTTCTAAGCAATTTACGAGACGCGAATGTTACAGCCATTTTTATTGAGATCGCAAACCATCCCATTGTCTTCGGCTACGGGGATCCCGTTTACGACGAAAAATAAATAATTCTATACATTGTTTCACAAAAATTATCGAATTGTTTTAAAAATATAATGTGTATAATATAACAAATTAAAAATACTTATAGAAAATAATAAACATACAAAATAAACAATCAAATATTTTCTTCAATTTTGAAATATCTCTTTCTCAAATGTTTTCCTAAATTGTTATATTGGTTTAAAAAACACATAAAAATTTTAATAGTTTCTATAGTAACTATTATGTATGTTAATCTAATTAAGAAGTAATTAATATTAGTATTGCTCTATTTCAAATAAAAAGAAAATGTATGTCTTATTGGGAAAACACTATTTTTTTAATTGAAACAAGCAATGATTCTTATGATTATTACAATATTTTGTCCCTTAGGTATACCGCTATAATATTTAATAATAATTATTCTTACCTTGACCCCGTTGAAGAGAGAGTTGAGGATGCAAATGTGTCACAAAATCCACCATACCACTACAACAGTTCCGAAGGGTTCACCCTCTGAATGATAATACTCTAAGTTTAACCATTCTGTCTCTTTATTGTATTCACAACCCGAGGGAAATTACAAGTTCCAGCACAACCTTTTCATCTTTCAAACAACGCAAGAACAGTACAGTTCTATGAAGATAAATGCTAAAACATTTATACATATATATAAATATAATATAGTTTTCACAACTCACGAGATAACAACCGACGAGTCCGTGTGCTGTTTGTTGCAGAATAGAAATGCGTCCTATTAATTTATCACAACCAATAATAAGAGTCACAATACGAAGCTTTATAACTTATATATAGTAAATAACTCTGTACGCTCGCTTATACATAAACTAACCGTTACTCACAACACTGAAGAGGTAAACATTGACATCTATAACTTTACATCGTGTTAGTTATTATTTAACCGAAACCAGCATTCCACACAGCTACATCACACAACACACGTAATTTGTCATGTTAGTATAACTTTTGGTTATTGTTTTTGGCACATAAGTTCCATGTTGTATGTATATATTACGATCAGAGCGGTATCCGATACACGCGGTCTATTAATAGTTTCGCATGCCGCGTCTTCCCGTTGTACGGAGCGGTGTCAGGTAATGACGGGAACGTCAGTGAAACTGTGTTTTCAGTTTCAGCTGGTACGTGTGTGCGGTTCTGTTGGTACTGTGTTACTAGAGGCACGCGTTCATCTCCACCGCTGAAAGGAGAAACCTGTTGAAATGGGACGGTCTGCTGAAATGGAGAGAGATGGACGTATATTTGTTATGGACGCTTAGATTTTCAGGCGCTTATTTTGGTGTGTGTGTGTGTGCGTTGAAAGTTGCGTGGATACTGGTATTGGTTCTATGTGTAAGTTGTGGAAAACTCTCTTAGGACGTTTTCACAAACCTTCGAATTTCGTCGCTTTTAATATGTAGTAGCTTTCATAATTTTAGGCTCCATATTTATGTAGTCCTTTACACGTAAAACGATTAAAAAGACATGTTGGTATCAATCTTAAACCTAAATTCTGTATTTATGAAAATTTGTATATTTTTGTTTTAATTATATTTTTAAACTTTTTATGCGATTAATATATTTTTCAACAATAAGAACTACGTATTATAGTAACTACTTACTAAGTAGATATACCAAGAAAATTAAAAACATTATAATTAAAATCAATTATAAATTAAAGAACTTAGGCGAAACGTTAACCAGGTTAAAGAATCGAAGGTGTTGTAGTAAGAATTAATCAATTGAAAATGGTTTGAGACCAATATAAACAAAGCTATACACACAAACGCACAGGACACGCACATTCAATTAAGCCTGTATTCGGTGAAAGGGACGAAGATACGCAATGCGCACGCAGCCACACAGACACACAAACAAAAAAACATATTTATATATATACATATATATGTATACATATAGTCATCTATATAATTCCACTGATAAATGTAACGTACCCTTCATTATGGATTGAATATTGGCTCGGACTAAACGGCTATCGAAAGGCTTCGAGTAATTTTTGGTGTATTAAGTTTTATTATTGATGGTCCACTGTTATTTGAAAGTCAAATGGAATAGTTCGTTTGGTTTTATTGAGTTACAATTGAATTTGAAGCTAGTAATTAATATGTAAGCAACGAGAAACCTAGAAAAGAAAAACTTTGTGGCTATTTTAATGATACGTTTTTGGAACTTTGGCAATTATTATCTCTACGAAGGTACTAAAATTTTGGCTTAATTATTACATTTGATATTTCTCTTTCATTTTATTGAAAATTTATGGATTAAACAGTATTTTTTCTGATAAAATAATTAATTAATTCGTGGCACAATGTTGATTCTTACAAATGTCGTTATTCATAAACAATGTAGACAATAATTTTTACATTTATATATTTAATTAAACTTTTTTATTAATACTCAAAACATTTGACGTCACTTTAACAACGATTGAATAAAGTTTAGGCAGTACGAATTGTCTCTCCACTAATAATAACCGAAAGGAAAAATAGATTGGAATAAGTCTTGTATAATAGTTATACATATATTTATATATTGTTGTAGTGATAAGAATTATTAGAGTTTACAGTTAAAACTGTTTATTTCATTGTGCCAACCTTGAGCAATTGTACCAAAGAGATCTCATACCAAAAAAAAACTTTTCAGAACGACACCTTACTTAGTAAAATAGAAAAAATGTTTAAGAAGAATCTCAAACACACATTAAAATCAGGTAACAAGTTTTCATTCCTAACAATAATCAAACATATTTTTCAGATTAGCTATAGGTATATGTTTATGAAAAAGTTTTTCATGTAAATAAATCGTGAGTTTAAGAGACAGCTCTTATCAAAATTTTATTAAATTAATTTTAAATATATCGATATTTTTACGTATATTTTATTCACCCCGTATATTTTTAAATAATTATAAAATTATAATTCTACTACTGCATGTTTCTTCGGTGTCTACCACTCATTTTCTTAGACTTTTTTTAAGCGATCCCTCTTAAGGCAGTTTTTCATCTTCTTGTGTCTCAGGAATATTTCTTTTAAAGAATGAATAAAATGTTTCTCCCTTCAATTATTCTGTTACATTTAACTCCCAAAAGGTCAGATTTGTCAATTGCTCGTAAATGCACTAACCACAATCATCAGATTAAAGAGATCTGGCTACCGATCAAACCCACAAAAATTAGTATAAGCAAAATATCATTTCGTTATGTATTAAACTATAACTTATGTTGATTTTATTTTACATATTTTGTATATATTATTTATAGTTAAACTTCTCAAATATATTCACAAGTAATTTTTTACATAGACATCATTGAAGTTTGGCATTTTTAGATACATTTTGATGACAATGAGGGTCTCGTCAACTTTTTGAATTGTAAGGAAAAAGTGTGTGGAAAATGAATATTAATATAAAGCGCCTGCCTGAAAGTTATATGCACTTACATTCAGAGACAGATTTGCGACTGACATTATATCATCTTATATATTTTGATCTTTAAAACTGGTATTTTTTTATAAAGGAGATTTTCAAACCTATATCCAAAATTAATTTTAGTATAAAATCATTAAAATTCTTAATTTATGATAACAATTTAACTAGAACAACACCATTACTGCAAAGCTATAGATCATTTGAAGAATAATTGAGACATTTAAAGAAGAATTTTAAAAATATACGTGAAGTAGTAAATATTAAATGTTATTTTTATGATTAAAATCTTTTAAAACATACTTTTGTTTTTGATAGATATAAAAGTCATTCCTTCTCTATGTTCTATTGTATATTACCTTTCATATTTTGCATTTTATTTATTTATTTTAATTAATACCTACTTACATATATTACCCTCTATTAATATGGATTTATTTCCACGATAACATTCTAAATCTTTTTTTATGTTCGCAATCTTACTTAAAAACTTTTGTCGTATTATATTTATTAACTAGTTTTTGCCCGCGACTTCGTCCGCGTTAGTTTGGTCAAGAGTAATATATGTAGGTATAGCTGACCAGGCGAACTCTATTCCGTCTTAGAGGCTATTAATAATGATTGACATATTAGTTAGTTGTCAAATCTAATGTCAAAAAAAACGTTTGTATGGGAAATAGAAAAGGGCTGTTTTTGAGGTTTTCCCGGCAATTATTCCAATTTTTCTCACCTTTTAAACCTTCCCTGGACTTCCAGGAGTATTTCAAGACTAAAATTAGCCAAATTAGTTCAGCCGTTCTCGAGTTTTAGCGAGACTAAGGAACAACAATCCATTTTTATATATATACATAGAAGATTATATCTGACATGTTAAACAATGACTAAATTTCACGTCAGTATTAAGATAAACATTAACACTTATACTCTCAAAATACAAATCAATCCACAGTTGATAAATCAGATAAGGATTCTGCATTCAATTAACATAATTCCCATGCCGTAACATCTTAGCCAATTTTTAAAATGTTACTAACACCGCTTCAAGTATTTTAGATTTGGGAACATGTCCAAATGGTTCTCATTAAACTAAAATAGACTAAGAGTTACAATGATTAAAAGTATTGTTGTCTTAATTTAAGCCAAAGTCGACTCTGTGACTAATGTATTGAATAAAAAGAATCATGGTCGCTATTATAATGCTAATGACCTTACCTATTACCTTACATTATGAACCAAATCATAAGAGATACATTAGTTAGTTCTCTTAAGAAAAACCTATGAATAACTCAAGAAATCCCTAGAAAACAGTCCTAAAAATATATTATTCAGTTGTCATAGAGTTATAGCTGTTTTCTAATATGTTTTTGAATTCACGGAAGTAAATAATAAAACAAATATAATGAAATGAAAACCTCTTGCATATCAAGGGGATTGAAAACGAGGGAGTATTATTTTAATCAAATTCCAATTAGGCTTCACCAATCCTATTTGGTGTCTATATTTTTCTATCTATATCTATATTTTTTTATCTGTGCGTATTATTTTAATCTATTCGAGTACAGATTTTAATGGACATTATAGATATAGATTTTATAATTTGAAAATGGTTTAATAAATGAAAATATTATTGAGAAAAAGTTTATCATTCCTATATACTTACTAAACATATACAGGGTGACTGGTGAATTACTATCAATATTTAAGGAGAATACTCGGTACATGATTCTCATTCGAATTATGTAAAAAAAAAATGGGTACTTAATTTTTTACCAAATTTCCGTATAAATAAATAAAGTGTGGATACGTTCCAAGTGTTCCAAGTGTGGACGCGTGCGGCGGCGTGCTGATACGACACCACGCCGCCCCGCGCGAATGTGTGTGTGTGTGTGTGTATACCTAATCTGTAGGGTGTTCACACGATGCGTAATTAATTACATAACTTTTGGTTAACTTTACTTAGAAGTTTATTAATATTTATGTTATATTAATTTTTATTTTGTCATATATGATCGTCAAATATCACGTCCTCAAGTATCGATAGTAATTCACCAGTCACCCTGTATAATACTTTTTTGTTTTTATAAAAGTAATATTTTCATAAAGTCGCAAAATATTGTTATAGTTAAACATAGAATTAGTTTAAAATACGTCTCGTTGGAACTTTCTCGAAACTTCCCTGTGAATTTTTATTGTAACAATAAATAATTACTTATAAATTGTTATTTAAAATTAAATTGTAATCTGGTACTTATTATACATAGGAAACAACGATGTCGGTTGCGGATACCTAGAAATTCTAATTTTCTCAGGAAAAGAATAAATCCTGGCTCCACCAATAATTTCCTTCGCGCTGTTATTCTGTTAACTGTAGTAATGAACAAATTATTTTTGATATAATTTATATAGAAAATTAATTTGCATCATTTAAAATAAAAGATTTTATTGCCAACATATATTATAAGTACTATTTCGGTAATAGTGATTGGTAACCCAACAATCCATAAAATATCTACAAAATTATCGTTTGTAATGAAAATCCCTGCACAAATTAAAACCCAAAAATTCCACCAAAAGAAATAATATGAAAAAAATCAATAACAAAAAATTCTTTTATTCACTCATTATCAGGTTTTCCAAAAAGGCCAAAAATTATATAAAAATATTTAACAATACTTTGCTCAACAGACAGATTAAAAATTTGGTCAATATTATTCAGCCTCGCTTTTGATTCATTATGTTTCGTTTAATCTGTATGGTATAATTGTGAAATTTCAAATAATTTCAACCTTTTA